CTCTAGAACAGTGGTGCTCAACCTCCAGTGCACAGGATCATGACATCTGACCCATCGGACTCCCCAAGGGCCTAGAAATTTGGAGAAAGGGAAGCAGATGCAGCACTGCCACTGCCATTGCTTCCCCGCCATCAAATTTCCAGATCTGTGGGAAGCCCCATGAGCTAAATGCCACGGTCCTGGGCACCAGACTGCACCTGCATGCAAGGTCAGGCTGAAGCCAGATCTAGTGTGCAGGGCTGGGCCTATGCACAGGATTGCTTTGCACAGCTGGATCCACTGCACAGAGCTGCTCCATGGTCAGATGTACCACCTGGGACAGGGATGACATGCCAGATTGCACTCATGGACCAACACTGTGTGCCAACTCCACACTGGATTCAGCCCATGGGATCTGGTCCATGGACTAACCCCACGTCACTCATCAGGCTCACAGGGCCAGAAAGTTGAGCACCACTGCTCTAAATGCTTATGCGCCAACCCCACCATGCAAGAGTGTCCCACCAATGACAGGAGACTGGTCATAGCTTTAACATCAGTGTTTTTTTGAAGTAGGTGAGAAAAAATGTGTGCAACACATCACTCTCACCCTGAGCCCAGGAATCTATTCCCCCATTCCCTCACCAAGATATATGGCTACTTCCCTAAATTTCACTCCACTTGTGCCTTCAGCTGGTGGAAATCTGGGAAGCTGCATTTTCTTTGCCTTCTCTTCACCTCTCTTTACTGTTGTCTCTGCCTTTGTATCTCTTCCTCTTTGTCAATCTTCTGCGCTAGTGGAGGCTGACAGCAGCTCTCACTGGACCAGACTCTCTAGGGTGGCTAAGCAGACCTCACTATGGGACGGTGACAAATCTTTGTATTGCTAGGGAATTACCTGGAAGCACCAACCCTGATATAAATTCAGGCTGTTCTTTCTGTGTCCTACCTGCTGCCAATGGCCCCAAAGTATCTGGATGCCCTGGCCATATAGTCTGTCCTGGGTGATGCCAGAAAGCAATGTAGGAACTACAAAAGGTCAGGGAATTCCACAAGCAGGTGGATCTGCCTGCTTTGGTCTACTTAATGCTGCCACAGCAGCCCTCAAACATCCTGGGGCTAGCCTTTTCCCCACTTTTCTCAGACATGCACCATCTTACAGACCTCTGGCCACATTTGAAACTTTTATAGATGTCCAGTAGTGGACCATCAGCAACTGAAAGCAAAATGGATATTGTTAATAAGCCACGCTATAGAATGCACCACTGCTCTCTTGAGAAGCAAAGACAAGTGCCTCAGTGCCACAGCATAATATATGCTGGTTGAAATCCTGCACATGACAGTGATTATTTTTGATCCAGAGGTAATTGCGCTCAGAAGGTCTGCTTTGTAACACAAGCTCCTAATCACAGCTGCTGAACTGGCTCGCTCCTTCCCTTCCCCTCCCCAAATCAGAAGAGCAGAGAAGCACTCCAGCACTTATGCACACTTGGTATACATCAGCCTGACTCAGTCCTATGAGAACTAAGTAAATAGCCCAAATTTGCTTAAAGCTAAAGGTGAAGAAAACCTTCAGAGCTGTGATTTTTATTAAGATATCAGAGTTCTTTATTTCAAGCACAGCCAGCCTAAAGCTATGAAATCCAAACCTAAACTCTATATCATACAAGGAATCCCTTCTAAGAGGCATCACTATGACTATCAAACTTACTGTTACATAAATCAGAGATTACTTGACTAATGCAGGTATAGAAGTAACTAAAATAGTAAATCCCACAAAGATGACAGCTAAGTGTACTGCTATACCAGAACTTACTACAGCCATGGACAGCCAATAAGCTTTTGCTTCCAGTGAGATAGCACGCTTTTTGTTCAAACATCACCCTCTTGGTGGCATTTGCTTTGCCCAAAAAGCCAACAGCAAAAATTACATTTTCTTTGCTTTTCCAAACCGGCATGTAGTGGTACTGAGTAGTGAGCAGTTTGGGTCTTGTGACGATCTTTCTGATCTACTCACAAAATATCAAGTCGATAATTAACAATCCTCAGAAAACTCACTTTGGAAGCTCCTGGATACATTTCTTAGCCTCCTATATCTGACCTCCTAATGTCTAGGACGTGTGTGTACAGTTTAAACAACAAGTTTTGAAGGTCTTATTGTTCTTCTACTAGAAAGATGACTTTTACTTACTTGCTGCCATGTCAGTCTCAGTCGTTCAAACTGTTCTTTCCCATCTTCTGAGCAATCAGAGCAAGTAAACCTGAAAAAGTTATCTCCCTTGAGGTAACTGAGTTGTTCTCTCAACTGACCTAAAATGAATAAGGAAAAGACCCATGCCTCAGTTCTTTTTGAGGAAAAGCGTTGAAAAGTAGATATGGATTCCCCACAACACCCTACAGGAACACGTTTCTCCTGAGCTGCAGTTCAGCAACCCTGAGTACTCATGAAAAGTTCAGAAACTGCGTGTGATGCTTAAAGTATAGATTCATTGTACAGTTACAGAAACCAGCAAGAACCAATACAGAAACACATGCATTAAAGTAGGGTCTTCTACCTAGCATTCAAATACATTTAAAACATCAAAAACTTTGCTAGACTTAGCTAGACCCTGCTATTTCCTCTGCCTTTTTTTACCCCCTCCCCACAGTTCCCCAGGGTTTTCATAAAGGCGACAGGTAGTCAAAAAGGCAACCCTGTGAAAGATGCCACTATAACCTGGTCTGTGAATATACACGTCTTTCCTCATTTGCCATCTTTCCACTGCTAAGTAACCCTCTAGCTCTTTTCACTGTCCACCCATTCACTGCATGTGAAGCTGTTCTTTCTGCAGTCAGAGACCCACAGAGGTAGACTTACCGTAAGACCTTAAGGTATCTATTTACCCATATTATGGGATTATTCTTTCTTTGGCACTATGACAGGGGAACGCTGCATCCAGCTAGAAATAGAAGATGATACCAGGAAATAGCTGTTCTTGACTAAGATTTATTCTTCTAGATCCTAACTCAGGAAAGCATCTCAGCGCTTGTTTAAGACCTTTTGCTGACCTTAAATATATGTGTCTTAACAAAAGGCCTTGATGGAAGAGAGTCAATCCAAAAAATCTTAGCCTTCTAAGGCTAATGAGACTCTCTACTGTGGAAAAGAGGAAATGAGAAGACCTGGGATTGTAAGATTCACCCCCTAGTGAATTATGATTAATTTAATCATAAATATCACTAGCAAACAGGAACAGTAACAGTGTACATCTGGAATTTTTAAAAGTGCTTAAGGCAATCACCTAGTTCTCTTTTACTACATTGTTGACCCCAATACAGCAATTCACAATGTATTAGTGAAAGACTAATAATAATGTTAATGAAACATTAGCTCTTGCTAGGCAAAGCTATTTGTCATACTAGCAAAATTGCCAAAAGGAATCCATCTCTGAACATACTTTTATGTGGTGTAAGTCACAGCTAGGATCACTGTCACTGAAAGACATCAGAGAAAAACATTTCTATTTCTGCACACTTGTGTCTGATCACATTCACTCTGTGGCCAGTTTCCCTTGCTGTTTGTATCTTTTATGCAAACAACAAAGATTGAGGGTGGGACGAATGGAAAACTGGACTGTAAAATAAAAAAAGCAGCAGCAGCAGGACTCAAGAGTCAGAGGGACCACCAAATGCTACTTTTAATTTATTGTTTTTTACAGACTTAATTTTAAGTTGACTGTGTCCCTTTAGCCATTTGCTACTGAACACCAACAGAGAAATCCTGGCTCCATTAAAAGTTTATGGCAAGACTCCCCTCCACTTCCCTGGGGATGGGATTTCCCTCCAAGGGTTTTGGCAGATTTTTAGCAAGATGGCTAGCCAAAGTAGTTGAAAGGCGCAGACCCAGATTGAAGGGTTTGTTTTCTGCTCCCACAAATGGAGCAGTGCTTAGATTTTGGACAGTAACAGCTATTGTACTAGTACAGGGAGAAACCTAAACTCATTTCTATTATGTTAAACAGAGATACCAGAGAATTAATTTAATCTGGTTAGCCCAAAATGCTTCTAAAGGACTTTACACTCTTCTGTAAATGCAAAACTAAGTGCAGAGTATAAAGGAATATTTCTTATACATACCAGTTGAGAGTTACCCGTACCTCTCATACAAACAACAAATCAACCAGGAAAATAAAAATAATAACAACAACAACTCTCTCTTATATAACACTTTTCATCAGTGGGTCTGAAAGTACTTTATAAAAGGAGGTCAGACTCATTATCTGCATTTTACAGAAGAGGAAACTGAGGAATGAAGAGATAAAGTGACTCGCCCAGCATTACTCAACAGGCCAGAGGCAGAGATGCAAAGAGGACCCAGGTCTCTCAAGGTCCAGTCCAGTGCTCTGTCCAAGAAAAGAATATAGAATATTTCACACACACACCCGCAGAAGCAAACACACAAAAAGAAAGTGATCAAGGAAACAAAGGAAAGGCATTGTTACTTACTTGCTGGTATCCACTTCTGACACTTCTCACAGTAGTAGGACAACTCCTCCATCCAGGATGCATCCCCTTCATCACTGTTCAAAGAGTCCCCGCTTTGATCGTGGGATAAATCCACAGAGGCCTGATCCTCAGACTCGACAATAAGGAGAGTCTCCCCTTCTACCTCACCTTCCTCCAGACCTTCAGAGGTGGATGTCCTTGTGGCTTCATCATCATGACGGCTTATTAGCCCACTCATGTGAACATTACTATCCATCCCTTCTTCACAGGGAGAAAAAGAGGATAGTTTACATTACCAGGTGCCCCCCCTCCCAATGTTTAAAGTATCAGCCACATTGGATAAGCCAGCCAAGTCCCCCGCACACATGAAGATACTGAAGCCAGAAGGACCTTCTGTTTGCATTTACTAATGCCTGTAATTTTCTGTGCGGGATTAAAATTAATCTAGAGGAGATGGACTTTCAGTGACAACCTATGTATATGGAAACACCAAGGCACAAGCAGGCGCAACCTCTTCTGCGTGTCTTCAGTGAAAACTAATACTCCCGTTCTACATCTAGGATTGCTGGGGTCCTCTGTCCACAGCCTGCCTGTCTCTTTCTGCTTCCAGATGCTTGGTCAAAATAATCTGATCTTCTAAAAGGCGAATGTTCTCTTGTTTGCGACTCTGCCTCTCGAGGTCTCTGAGTACACCTTCACGCAGTCTCTGAAAACACAAGACATGGCTCATCGCAATGCAGCCTGTGCTATATGTGATTAATCTCCACTTGTACTCCAATCCCTGTTGCAGGATGGCTAATCACTTAACAGTTGCAAATCTTTAGTTCTCCCTCAGTGACTTTAGTTGTACCTAAATATAGGATCTGAGAGGTAGATGTTGATAAGCTGCTGGTAAGGGGCCAAAACCACTCTCTGTTGACTTAGCTGAATGGTTTTAATGAGGGGAACCTGGTGAGCAACTATCAACATTGTATATGGATAATTCCTGCAGCAGTGGTTCTCAACCTTTTTTTAAACTCAGGACACCCCTCATTAGATTCAAGGCACTCCTGGGAAAACACTCTTTGTTTTCACTCATCTCTTAACTATGGGAAAATAAAAAAGCAATTTTTTTATTGCAAAGAACTCAGACAGACCACAACAGGTCACCATGCTGTTGACACTATAGATCCCTATTTGAAAACTTTGGGTTTATCTTGTGAATCATGTGTAGATGTTTGCATATCTAATAGTGCTGATATAGTGTGACACCCCCATGGCACTCTTAAAATATATTGTGGCACCCTAGTTTAGAATCGCTGTTTTACAGCAGGGGTCAAAAATCTTTGTAAGTTGGGGGCCAGAACAACCCAGCTCCAGTCTGGGGCAGACCAGGTGGTTTTGGCAGAGAATCAGCAAGTGGGGTGAGGTAGGGCGGCAGGCACTGTTGCTGCTTCTCTAGTCCCTAGCCCTGGCTGGGGCACAAGCGCAGCTTCCAGCTGATGGGGAACTGTGCCAGGGCCAGACAGCTGGGAGATGTGTGTACCATCACAGCTCCATCCCCCTCCTTCCACCTCTCCCCAGCTACAGCACAAGCACAGCTTCCAGTCAGTGGAAACTAAGGTAGGGGAGCTGAGCAGCTGAAAACTGCACAACTCCAGCTCAGCTACACACTGACTGGAAGTGGCACCCATACTGCAGCTACGGGGGGCTGGGAGAAGTGGCCACAAGATGGGCACAGCTTCCAGCTGACCAACTGTAATGCACCTCCTGGCTGCCACGGGCCAAGGCAAAACCCACTATTTCTGCAGGCCAGATCCTCTGGCTCCAGCCACTCATTGCCAATCCCTGATCTTTAGCATTACAGGAAGAGCCCTTACTCTATAGAAGATCGTGACTTCTACTCCCTGCCTTTACCAAAATTAAACTCTGTCCCAAATTTCTCTCTTTGTGCTCCTTTGCTTGAGTAGAACTTGGTGGTGACCTGGAAGGATTTTAAGAGGACTTGTGCCATCTTCCACTTCTTTGTGATGTACAAAACACAGACTGAAATGGTTGCTTCCTGCTTGTTTCTTACCCTTAAGACATCTGAATCTAACGTCTCCTCTGATTTTGTTGGTGACCCAGAGTGTGCTTATTGTAAGGTCTTGAAAAAAATAACACGGGTCATTTCTCTAACAATACTTATTAAAATTAATCAAACATTAACACAGACTACACAGTGGCTGTCTTTGTAAAAATTAAGCAAGATTACTAGTCTTGAAAGAGAAGAGTTTCCTTTGGCTTGGTTACTTTGTGCATTTGACAACACTGTGGTCCTAACCCTATGGCCAAATTTGAGCAGAGAGCCCCTCACACCCTAGTAGAGCCTCCTACACAACCTCAGTGGGGATCCACCTTCACAGTTCACTGCACTTTGTGCACAGTTAGTGTCACCATTTTCTCTACACATGGTCAATCAGGCCTCGACCCGGATACTGGATCTATAAGGATAGATTTGAAGACTGAATTGGAGTCTTTGTGAGTGTCTCCTGTTGCTCGTGTGTGTTTGTACCACAATAAGGGAGAGAATGGCATATGTAAACTAAGAAAATAAAACTACAAAACCATAAAACATGGTGGAGGCATTGAGCAGCAGATGTAATATCTGACACTGACTCCAACCCTTTTGTAAATGAACAGATTTCAAGCAAACTTACTACAATATTACAATATTGTATTTGATGAAAGAAACATAAAACACCAGCAGAAAAGTCAATACTGGCCTCCACATGGATCCTGCTGCATAATAATGGTCATGTTTTGCTCCTACTAAAGTCTTAATCTGAAGAAAGGCTTACACCCCTGCCGAATGTATTAACGCGGCAGTTCTCAATCTCGGTAAACTCAAGGCACCCCTTGGAAAACGCCGGCTCTTAGCTTTCACTCAGCTTGTGCACTATGGAAAAATAAGAATCAATTACTCTGCTGCAAAGAACTCAGACCTCAGCAGGTCAGAATGTTGTTGACACCATGGATTCTTATTTGAAATCTCTGGGTACTGCAGGGAGGTGTCCACACACCTAACAGTGCTAATACTGTGCAGCACTCCATGATGCCCTGAAAAGGATTTCACAGCACCCACAGGGTGCCCTGACTGAGAAACACTGTACTAACTTTTATGAATGCTGATGTGCTTGGGATCCAGGTTTTGCCTGATCAGGATCCAAATGCATTCGTATGTACTAAAACTGGTTGGCTGAACACAAGGGAGAAAAAAGCATGACAAATTATTTAACGAAATGACAAAAAATGTTGAACAATTTATTTCAGAAATATTGTCTAATCCCATACAGAGCTAATTAATGCTAAAAATCTGTAAATCACTTATTTGAAATCTAACTATAAAGTCATCAAGTTATCAAAAAATGTATTATTTAATCACTTCTAAAAGAAGGTTTTATTTTTCATCCAGAATCCACTTAATTATACATTTCACAGGAAAATATTTTTTCCATGAAAATTATCAAGAAAAAAAAATACTTTATGCAAAAAGTACTTTAATTTAAAAGAAATACAAAGGCTAGGAGTATTTTATCCACTTTTCTCAAAACCTCTCTGGCAATTAATCTGCTGACAAAGGTGCTTTCCCATGAGTTTCAATCAAGTTAATACAAGTTACAACTTACTACTATTTAATGGTAGACCTGGCAAACTAATTACTTTAATAGCATTAGCTAATCAAAATCTAGAAAAGGTATGGAGATTATAGAACAAGTGAACAACTGAGGCTAGAAACATGCTTGCTTCCTGCTTTATCCCACAGAATTCAGATGATTAGAATCTATCAGACTGCAAGTTCATTAATTTCAGAGCTCTGAAAGTATATACCACATTTATTCAAATCAAGTCTTTGCCCCATTCAACATGGGGGAAAAAAAGGCTTATCTAGGATTTGGAGTACTTCCTCAGCACAGGTGGCTAGTGCAACACCAGCTCTGGTGGCACAAGCTAGAGGCCAGAGTCGGAGGCAAGTGCAAGACAACCCTCCAATAATTATATATCATACATGGAAAGTTATAACAAATTTATAATTCTCCATGCCCAGATTCTAATTATTGGGGGGGGCTGTCTTAAATCTGAAGTTGTCTTGCATTTGAGTAAATATGGTAGTTTTTATCATTTGTCACTAAGAGCTACCAAATATCACTAGTTGATTTGGACTATGTGCATACAGATTTGGGCCTTCTCTTTACACAGGAACTTGCACCATTTTTTTTAAATTCATTCATTTAAATATATACAAACTGAAATTACAACTGGCTTTTACCAACTTAATTTATTAAGGCTAGAAGTTGATTAATGTAAATGGATATAAACCAGGCCTCACTAAACACAAGAGCATCCATATTCAGGGTTTGCAGTGGCTAAACTGAATTGATTTAGTTAAATTTGGGCACTGACAACGCACCAGACATCACTCTCAGAGGATCTAGGTTTGAGAGGCTAGTTTTAAATATCCTGCACAGTATGGGAGCTGGTGCAGAAAAGGATATATGGCTATGTAAGATTTTGCTCTTCCCCTAACATTAGGACATCTGCTTGAATCTTTGGAGGTTCTATCCATTCCCACTGAGGTCCTGCTCATACCTAAACCATCTCCCAAGCCCTGCCCCCTTCCACCTTGCACTCAGCTCTTTCAGCCTCCTCCCAAGGTTTCTGTCCCCCAGCAGGAGCAAATACGTGGGTGCCATGAAGCCTGAGGCCATCAGACCCTGGATTTGTAAAGAAGAATCTCAGTTCTTCCTTACAGAAAGAAATTTCTGAATAGAGCCTTGAAAATACCAAGGATTATAAACAGATTGTTATGGAAGAAAAAGCCCTTGGGTTATACATCTGCAACAGGAGACAGAAGAACATTCATTCTGCCTCTAGTCTTCAGAACAGCTATCTGCACACTGGTGTGATCAATCTGGATGGGAAATGGCTCTATCTCCAAAAAACCGGTGGGGATAAAATACTCTTTCATCAGCCCCTAAAAAAATGCTCACGTTACCCTGGTCACCCAAAGACCTGAAACAGGTCCGCCTAGCTGACCAACAGACTCATCTGACCCCTCCACCTCTGGAGGGTTTTACAGGCTCCATCAAATCTGGCAATATTGCACGTTCTCTGCCAGCTGAAAAACTGTTACATTTCTAACCCTGTGGGGTTCTCGCATCCAGAAGTGGTTTTGGATGACCTGCCCCGAGAAACTCAACACCATGCTGCTCAACTCCACAAGGACCTTCCAAGTTCTGAGAGAGAGGGGAGGGCTGAGATATTCTCAGCCTTTGGTCAACTGGACATGCCTACTACAGCAACTGCAGCAGGGGGTCTGGAAATTTATTGGATTTATTACAGAGGAAACAGTGACGAGGCAGCTGCTTGGAGTCAGGATAAGATCCCTAGCCTTTTCCTAAGCTTAAAAAAAGATATGAGCCAACTCAAAAGCACTAATTGTATGAATGCAACCAGTTAATACTTCCTCTTTTACCGAAGAGAAAATACACACTGGCCGCTTCTACATGAGATGCTGACTGTGCAGAAGCATTGCATGACAGAAAGTGTAATGTGATGCTACTGTCTCAGGCTGCTGAGCAGTCAGCTTCATGAAAAAGCTTTGTGGCGGTACTACCAAGCAGCAAGTTCACTTACTACAGTCATTTAGTACTTGTCCTTTAGTACTTGTTTATACAAGTACTAAATGACTGCACAGTCAGCATCTTGCATAGACATAGCCAGTATACAAGAAAGACCAAAGATACAGTTGCAAAGCTAAACCCTCCAAAGTTAGGTGAAGCCAAACTTACACAATTTGTGCTACCTTCATTTGGTTCCAGATAGGCCTTATGATTGGGGTCTACCCAACTCAAGGAGGTAGCCAGATTTCATGGGCAGATTGTGGGGCTGGCAGCTATTTTCAAGGGCTTATCATGGCCGCCACCTGCCCTTCCCCCCACCGTGCCTCTGACTGGCAAGGGGTCCTGGTGGCCCTGCCCTGTCACTGATTGGTGGAGGGCTGTCCATCATATGGCCCCACCCCTCACTGCTGATTGTTGGAGAGGGGTGGGACTGAACAACAGACAGCCCTCTCAGCCAATTAGCAACAAGAGGTAGTCCAGCAGCCATCTTGCTTGCTCGCCTTCAGGCCAGCAGCTTCCTTCCACCTTTCCCCCGGGCGGGCTGCGCAGCTGGGATGACTGCTTGCTCCCACCAGGGAGCCGGCATTTTATTTTTTAGTACATCCCCCCCCCCAAACAGATTTCACAGAGATAGCCCAATTTCACAATTTTCGCAAAATCCATGCAATCAAGATTTGGGTAGTTCCCTGTTTATGATAGACTTTCACTGTAAGGTCATGTACTATTTTTTCCACAGGACCCTTCTCTCATTCAGTGCACAGAACTCAAGTTCAGAAGTGTCCACTTTAAGACAACTTGTCTTTATTTTTCAGTCAGCAATACTTAGTACTTTATATGTTCAAAGCACAGCTCCCATTGGTTTTTGTGAAGATCTGAATGTTCAGCACATCTCAATTCAAAGTCCAGGGTAGGAAGCCTCAGAAAATCAGGGAACTCAAGTGTGAAAAGCCTGGTAAATCACTTAGAGCCATACATGCATGGCAGCAGGAGGTGTGATTGTGTGGATCGCACAGTAGATTTTATCATGCCTTGTTGCCGGTGCAGGAGGAGCCAATCCTGAGCTCCTCCTGCAATGGCAAGAAGCAAGCTCCCTCAGCTTGGAGGCCAGATCAGCTGACAGACCCAGCCACTGGGGCGCATCATGCTCCCACAGCTAGGAGCCCCAACTGCTGATCTGGAGTCTCTGTAGCCAGGAGACTGCAGCTACTGTGATCTTCCAGCCACAGGCATTTATGGGCCTGGTGCAGCTCCCAGACTCTGGGGTAGACATGGCTCCCCCATCCCCTAGGAGCTCCAATCAGCTGATGGTACTCCCAGCCACAGGGGCCCCTGGCCATACATTCAACTAATGCCATGATAGGAAGCAACTGCAAAGTTATCCAACATATTTTGTGGAATAACTTTGTAGCTTATTCCTCTTTTATCATGCCATTGATTGAATGTGTGGCTAGGTGACCACTGAAGGTATCATTAACTGGTTAATCACGCCTTAAGTATAACATGTACATGGTGCCTTAGACCACACAGCAACTCCACGCCAGAAGCAGGCAGAGATTCTAGTTCTCCAGGACAATATTATACTGCCTTAACCAGTGATTCTAGGTCTCAGGACCCCATCCTTCCTCTTCCTGCAATGCCCTGCCCCATTCACTACAAACTTTCTAGTTTCTACAATAAATGCAGCTAGGGGCCTTACAGACAGCCACCTCTTTCCCCACGTAACCCTAATTCACTCCACCACCCCAAGGCTTGAATGAGGCAGGATTCTGTGGGGAAAAAAAATACCATCATCAGTGAATTAAAGACTGCACCAAAATGAATGTGTGCAAGGGGGCTGAACCAAGTTTGTAAAAATAATCCCCTCATGGCATCTCACTGATATCCACAGGACTCATCAGCTGGGTGAGAAGCCATGAGTCTACCATATAACTTTTGCCATGTATGCTAATGGAGTAACTGAGAGTCATCCTCTGAGTGGACTGGCCATTAAATAGGAATGAAGCATAAGCCTTGCCATCGGCTTCATGTTTATTTGCTTAGAGCAGAAGAATGTGGTGCCCCAGGGATTTTAGTTTCCATTCTAAATTCTGAAGGAGAAACATCTCTAAGTGGTCAGAAACACTTAGGCCCTGTCACTCCTGACCTTTTGCCTCTATCATTATTTTAATGCCCCCCTCCCACACCACCCAATTTCACTTCTCATTACAGGCCAAGTCTGCCTTCCCTCTAGGTTCTACATT